ATATATATATATAACAATACTCGATAATATTGTTATCCATTACAAATTCTAAAATAATGCTTAGTTTTTAAGAATATGATATAACTTTAAAATCATTAATATTTATTTTCTGATCGTTTTTCTAAAAATTGTTGCAGTATATCACGGTAAATAAGTGATCAGCTGAAGCAGAAGCGCGCATGAATATATCAGATTATTCATCTGTGAGGTGCACTTGTGAAACCGAGGAGTGTGATAGTGGAGAAAACTGTTGCCCAGTGGTAACAAGGATTGATTCATTATAGGCAGGAATTTTGACTTACACGATTCTTCAATTGATGCTTTTTTTTTAGATGTATGGGGAAGGCCAAGTTGTTCATTATGCATAAATGGGCTTCTGTTTCGGAATATTAGGTGACTAATGGTTTATCTTACAGATTAAAAAATCAAAATTTTTTTACACAAAACATCGGCGTCTTCGTTCGCGTTTTAATGAGCTGTCGAATGAATACCTTATTGTTGAATGTTACGGTTGTCAGTGCCGCGATGATTGTCCAACAAAAATAGTTCAGGTCTGTTTTTCGAACTATGTATGGAATAAGAAATATTTTCTATTTATGGCTAAAAATGACTGTTTTATAGAATGGACGTCATTATAAAGTGGCAATAGTTCGTACAGAAACTCGTGGTTGGGATATTTTTGCGTTGGAAAATATGCCATCAAATGTATTTGTTGTGGAATATATCGGTGAAGTAAGTACCAGACTTTGATTTCGTGATCTTTGAGTGGAAATTTTCTAAATATATATTCGAAATGTGAATTTTATAGGTGCTTACTATCACTGAGGGCGATTCTCGTCGCGATAGTATGTATCAGTTTGAGTTGAGTGGTTACAGTGAAATAAAGTATTTGATTGATGCAAAATATTATGGAAATGAAGCTGCTTTTATCAAACATTCTTGTAGTCCAAATTTGGTTGCTGTTCGTGTACGGGTTGAGCGCTTCGACCAGTCATACCATAGAATTTGACTTTTTAGCAAGTGCTCGATTTCTCGAGGTCTTTCTGAAAGATGTTGCTAGAACCTTCATTCATTCATTCATTTATCTGTTGATGTAGGTTTCATTGTTACATTGTCATAAACTTCGGAATTTAAATTTTTAGCAGATTTACAATCAACTAAAAATTTGAATAAATAATGTAACTTTCTTTTTGTTGGTCCTATTATAGACTTTGATTTTGGTGATTGTAGGACAAGAATTAACCTCAAACTATTTCGATGGAAAATGGAAACCAGAAACGATATTAACGTCAGAGAGGGGACTATGGAGTGCTCGTAAGTATTTGTTCCCAATATGTTTATTTCTACAAGAATGACCTTATGTTAACCATTTAAAAAGTTTTGTTCGAACTAATATTTTAGTTGTGGTGCCTCGAAATGTATGCGATATTGGCCACAACTTGTTGTTGATAACTGTGGCAGTGATGAAGATAACAAGGAAAATAGTTTTGTCAAGTCGAAGTAATGAATACGTTCAGAAAGTGCATATTTAATAATAGCAAATCGATTTTAAATTAATTTAGGTTAGAACTCCCTGATTTGTCAAAACAAACTTTATTATTCATGCATGTGCTACTATTCTTTGCTGCTATCAGATTTTCGAATCTTTATGCGCTGGGAGAAAGACAGATATGCTGAGGAAATATCGTGTGGATTTATGCTAACTTAAACCATTCAACAATTCTTGAAATTTTAATTTCTTGTAATAAAAGTTAAGATCTTTACTTTATTTCTTTTTCATCACTCTAAGAAATTGTGATTTTTATTTATTTCTAAGGAGCACTGTAAAAGCATGAAATTGTAGTGCAATATATTAGGCAAAATCTTATCATATAATAACAAAGATTTGCTTTCGCATCTTTTTTGGATTTCATTTTATATCAACAGCTTGATGTTAAATTTTGTTTTTTATGACCACTTCTCATCTGAACATTAACAATAGCCATAGAATTTCAATTTGCAGTACAATTTTTGTTATCATTTGCAGTGAGTTTCTTCATTGTATCTTATTTTTTCTCATGATAATCTTGTTTCGGTTTTTCTTTGATTTTAAAATATTCTGTTGAGCTTATGTTACGGCATTTTTCACCCCTTTGCTTTCACGATTTTTTATAAATATGACTCATGATGAACAAATGATTCTATTAAAAAAACTATTGATTCGTTAAACGATGACAGATTTTGGAAAATTTTGTGCTGCCTTATTGTTTATTTTGTGTCATTTTGCTGCTTAACAGTCAATTTGACGATCTCAGTATTTAATGCAATCAGTTTATTAATTGTGCTGCTATTAAAATATTAGTTACTCAAAGCCATAATATTAATAGTGAGGAATTACCTTTTCATGTGTAGTTGCTAGATTTGTCTTTCATGCGCAGAAAAAAGGCCGTGAAATAGGTTACCTTTACTATATAGATTGTGTATCGATGCATACTCAGCTTTCAAAATTATCGGAAATTAATTCGGATGAATATTTTTTCATTTTCTTGGCATAATTCCTTTTAGGTCACGAATAACTCAATCCATTGGGATTTGAGAGACGGATCGATTTCCATTGGTGCATTATCTTAAGAAAATTTTTTTGAGAAAGTGAGTTTATTATTTGGTTTTTGGATGTCTGTTATTGTTGTATCGCTAATGAAGTCAGATATTTGATATTTTCAATTCTTTTATTCTTGTATAATCACTAATTAATTCATTGTTTTTGTCTGCAGTACATTGTTTTATCAAAAATGCAGCAACTAAATTTGGAACTTATCTGATATATTAATTTGAATGATTTTCCGAATGCGTAATTTGGTCTTGTCGATAATAGTATTACAAAGCAAAGAAATTTATCATGAAGTGAATAAAGGTTTTATCGAATACTTTTGAGTGTTTACTTTTATCTTACATAACTCTTCGGGTCTTTTCTCTTGCGACTACTTATCTAATACGTCACATTTTGATGCTTGCTTTAAGGTAAACTGACAGTAAACCGTATTCTGAAATAATCTACTGATTTCAATTTAAGGGAGGACATTGTTATAAAAAAGAATTAAGTAACAGAAAAAAATCTCGTTTTACAAAAGGTAATCAATGGTACTATTAGGAAATCGGAATTCATTCAAAACTTTCAAAGTGGTCCATCCATTTAAAAGTGGAATTCTGAAAAAGCCGAGAAATCTCGGATGATTTTGTCTATTAATCTGTTAGTTCTGCGTTGTTTGATAATATCAAAGAACATTGTTACCTTAGACATTGGTTTTCAATATTATTCGTTTTAAATATGAATATTATTGTAAAAACCAGAATTTTTTTGTTTTACCGCTCTTGCTAGAAAATTTTACCAGCTAATTTTTTAACTCAAATTTCAAGCAGGCGTGGTTTTTTTCTAGCTCGTTAATGGTTATATATAATATCATTGGGACTGTTATTCGAGTTCTGATTTAGTAAAAAAGATTGTACAACTTCTGGCAAATATTGAAATAAATTTTGGACCAATTGTAGTTCAAAAATTACAAAGAAGGAAATCTTTCTTCTGACAAAGTTTAGATCAATCACTTTTAAATAAATATCTCCCCCAATCTTTAAGCAGATAATTATACCACAAATTTCGTATACGCAAATAATTGATTTTAATTGGTCTTCAAAAATGGCCTTTTCGTGGACTCAAATAATTGATTTTAATTTGTTTTCAAAAATGGTAAAAGATCATTTTTACAAAATATTTGCAAAAAACTGAAGGGGCAATCTGCAAGGTGTTCGAAAGCAAATTTTTGCTGATTGTTTGAGGTTTATTCAATTTCGAAACTATTGATGGCGGAAAAGTATATGTCATACCCTACGTAATTGTATACTTATTTTTTTTCGGAAGACATTGAATAAAGGCAAATAACATCTGGCATAATAGGAAAAAGATTGTTACAAATTCGCATAGTTGTTAAAATTGAAAAAGTAAATTAAAGATTGAAATTTTTAAATGTTGAGAGAATTAGAAATTTCACCGGGATCATGCTGAGATGAAATATCGAAACTTTGGAAAATCGGAAATAATTGCACAAAAGAAGAAAGAATTTCAGTATCACTGGTTTAATTTGAGGTTATGTAAATGATTCGAGATTATCTCTGACGCTGATATACGTTTTTAGAATTAATTTTCGCTACAACTTTTATTATTTATTGCAATGAATCTTCATTGTTTTGCACTAAAATTTTTTTTAAATAAATTTAACAGTGCTGAATTGACTGAAAGAAAATCCATTTAAAATGTAATTTTTTTCCCCAATACATGACAATTTCTCCATTTTATCGCACTTTTTTTATATCTCTTTCCAATAAAATAACAAAATTTCGGCTATTGCAATTATCATATGGTTTGCAACATGAATTTTCATTTTGCAAATTTTTTAGATGAAATTATGTTACTACTTATTGTTTAAAATGAAATTAAATGCTCCATTCATTCAATGTTTCCAATTATTTCTATATCACTTTTCAATTTTTTTATTGATCATTGGCTTTTTAAAAAAACAGAAGTATGTTATAAAATATTGTATATGAAAATTGTGCGCAATAATTTTCCATCACTGTTCCCCAACATTTGCAGTTTAATTTCTTTTCAATATCTTATTTCCATTTAATTACTTTTATTGATGATTTTCCAGATATTCAGGACACATATTAGTTCCCATTCCTAATAGTGAATTTGAATATATCAGTACCATCCGGTCATTTAATGATTGGATGCATTTTGAGTATAACCGTTTTATATTTCAAAAAATATCCCAAATAAACATCGACTTTTGGTGGGAGAGAAGAATAATCAGTTATATTTGTCAGCAAATTTTTATTCAGTCCATCGATTTCCTCCATTATCCGCTTTTTATTTCATTATAATTTTTCACAAATATTTAACGTATTATAATATTATGTATATTTCCCATCAACTATCGATAATAATTGATATGCCTCACGGTTTTTGTAAAATATTACTTTATGATATTCGACGAGCATCGATATATCAACCAATCGATTTTACATTTAATTTTCTTTCCCTGAAAAAGAATTTGATTACTTTTACAATTTTGTTTTGCCTTAAAATTCACATTAAATAAAATTAAATTTTTCTTATTTTATTTTATATAAATGAGGCTGTCATCGATAAACGGGTTAATTGTCGCAGAAAACACTTGATTAACAGCAAAAAATACTGTTTATTTCCCAATAAATATAAATTCTTTCTAAATAAAATTTACAGAGCATAGTAGAATAGCCTAACAGTTTCAGACTGAATAGGTACTAATGCTGAATTGTACGGTACTAATCACTGTTAGATAATAGCTAGATTGAAGCTGCTCGATTGAATGGTTGCTAGATTGAGTGCTAATACGCTGATAAGCTGAACCAAAGTTTGCTTTACAAATTTCACTTCTCTAAATTATATCTTAAATTGCTAGCAATCGAACAATTCACGGAAATCTTTCAATCAACAGCAAACGTTTAAAAAGAAGGAATTTCTCGACACAATCATACATTCAATCTTTTGAACATACAACACTTTCCGCCCAACAAATGCAAAAGCACATCTGTACCTTTTCTATTGATCGGTATTTGTCATCACACCCCTCTCGACTTGGCAGTCAGTTTGTCTTTCAATAAAATGGTGACAGCAATGCCATTGGTGGTGATGGTAACCTTTGAGAGAAAGAATTTTTCCAATTCTATTTCACTGACATTTTTACAAATTCCAAAAATTTCATCACAGAAATTGTTATAATTTTTTCTTCTTTTAATTATGTTAATTTGTTTCAACAAATTCCTAATAAACATTAGCCAAATTGATATAATCTGACATCTCTTCATTTTTGACCCTGATCATTTCTTAGGCTCTATTTCATTTTTTCTATTACTATTATTTATTCTTCATTTCATGAAAAAATGTTGAAGGAAAACAGTTAGGTAAGAAATTAAGATTTCTTGATAGCATTAAATATGGTAAAAAGCTACAGTTCAAGCATTACTGTTTCTCGGAAAATCATTCGATATTAACTTCATCCACTGTCTATTATTTTAAATGATAAAAATTTATAATCGATTTTTTCTAATTTTTTAATTTGTGTAGCACTTAGTTATTCGTTTTATGATATATCATGTTGCGATACCGTAAGTACAACAATTTAAAGAACAATTTATTACAATAACACTTCAAACTTTTTATACCTTTTGAAATGTAATTGCCAATTTTATTTATTTAAATGTCAATTCATTGTTTATTTGACGTGCATTTTTAGATCAAATACAAAATTAAATGTTTTTCTTCGATTGCCCGAAATTAGCAATCAACAAACTTCGCATCACTTCCACGACTAATCATTTAATTTCAATAAATTTTATACTAATTATATATTTATACATTTGATAAGATAGATCTGTTTCTATCTAACTAGAAATACTACCATAATAAATTTCTTCTCCTCTCTGATC